AATAAAAAATAATAATAATAAAAAAAGAAAATATGAGTGAGACAGAGTAAACTATTTAGGAGCTACCATAAATTTCACCATATGACTGGTTTCTATAATTCTGTTAGAGTGATCAGCTTTCATGAATAGATGCTACTGTAACTAGCTATGAAGCATTTGTTTAAATTGCAGGTTTTTGGAGATAATTATAGATTCACATACAATTATAAGATATAATAAAGAGAGCTCATGTAAGCTCTTTACTCAGCTTCCCCAATGTTAACATTTTGCACAACTATAGTATAATATCATAACCAGGGTACCAATAGTGGTACAATTTTATTTAGACTTCTCTAGTTTTACTTGTTCTCAGTACTGTGTCTGTGTCTGTTTAGTAATACACAGTTCTATAACATGTGTAGGTTGCTGTATTTGCCATTGTAGTCAAGTAATATGTTTTGGCTCTGTCTCTATCCAAAGCTCATGTCAAATTGTAATTCCCACATGTTGAAGGAGGCGTCTGGTGGGAGGTGACTGGATCATGGGGGAGGATTTTCCCCTTGCTGTTCTTGCAATAGTGAGTTCTCATGAGAACAAGTTGTTCTCATGAGATCAAGTATGTGGCACTTCCCCCTTTGCTCTCTTTCCTTCTCTACCGTGGTAAGACGTGCTTGCTTCCCCTTTGACTTCGCCATGATTGTATGCTTCCTGAGGCCTCCCAGCCATGTTTTCCTGTATAGCCTGTGGAACTGTGAGCCAATTAAATCTGTTTTCTTCATAAATTACCATGTCTCAGGTAGTTCCTTATATATATGTATGATGTATTAGTGTGAGAATGGACTAATACATCAAGATACTGAACAATTCTATCACCACTGAAATCCCTCTTGTTGCTCTTTATAGCCAATCACCAACCTCTCAGGTTGCCTTCCACTTAACCCATGGCAATCGCTGATACATTCTTCATTTCTATAATTTTATCATTTCAAAAATATTGTATAAGTGGAATCATATAATCCATTGGGATTGGCTTTTTTAAATTTAGTGTAATTCACTAGAGATTCATCCAAGATGTCGTGTGCCTGATTAGTCTTCTTTTTTATTTCTGAGTTGTATTCCATGGTATGTATGTGCCTCAGTTTGTTTAACTAGTCATCAGCTGAAGGACATCTGGGCTGTAAATGCTTTTTGGCTATTTCAAATAAAGCTGCCATGAACATTCATGTATAGGTTTCTGTGTTAACATAAATTTTTATTTCTTTTATATTCACGTTAAGCAAAACACACTTACAGGGAAAAAAGGGGAATATTAGATATTTCTGCCAAAAACACATTGCCAAAATTGTAAAGGTTTATTGAGCTTTGGACAGTGGTGGAGAAACTCTGAGAGACAGACTGGTATCATGAGCCTTCTTTTCTTTTCTTTTTTTTTTTTTTGACTTCAACTTTTATTTTAGATATAGGGGATACATGTGATGGTTTGTTAAACAGGCATATTGCACCCAGATAGTGAGCATAGTGCCAATAGATAGTTTTTCAAGCCATGCCTACTGCCCTCCCTCTTCTCCTAGTAGCCTATAGGGTCTTTTGTTTCTATGTTTACATCAATGTGTGCTCAATGTTTAGCTCTCACTTACAAGTAAAAACAAATGTGGTATTTGGTTTTCTGTTCCTGCATTAATTCACTTAGGATTGTGGCTTCTAGCTCCACCCATGTTGCTGCAGAGTACATGATCTTGTTCCTTTTTATGTTCTTGTGTAGTATTCCATGATGTATATATACCACATTTTCTTTATTCAATCCACCATTGATGGGCACCTATATTGATCTCACATCTTTGCTATTTGGTTACTGTAGACATATAGCATAGTCAAAGTCGAGTAATTTGATGTCTCAGCATTGTTCCTTTTGCTTAGGATTGCTTTGGCTATTTGGGTTTTTTTTGGTTCCATATGAATTTAGAATAGGTTTTTCTAATTCATGAAGAATGATGTTGGTAGTTTGATAGGAATAACACTGGATCTGTAAATTAACATTGGATTTAAATCCAAAATCTGTAAATAACATTGGATCTGAACAGTATAGCGATTTTAATGATATGGATTTCTTTCCAATCCATAAGCATGGAATGTTTTTTCATTTGTCTGTCTTGTCTCTGATTTCTTTCAGCAGTTATGTAGGCCTTCTTGTAGAAATCTTTCACCTGCTTGCTTAGCTGTGTTTCTAGGTATTTCATTTTCTTTGTGGCTATTGTAAATGAGACTGTGTTCTTGATTTGATTCTTAGACTGTCATGTACCTTCTTATGTGATGCACTGAGTAAGACATACATCACTTAGGTAGTGTTCCCGCCAAGAACTTATGACCTGAATCTAATCATGAGAGAGATCAGACAATCCCAAATTGAGGAACATTCTTTAAAATAAATGGCTATAGTCTTCAAAATGTCAAGGAAGTTTAAAGGGGATGAAAGGGACATGAAGACTAAATGCAATGTGTCAACCTGGCTTAGATTCTGAACCAGAAATATGTGTAAAAAACAAGGACATTAATGAGACAATCGGTAAATTTTTAATAAGATCTTTAATTTGATAATAATATTGTATCAATGTAAATTTGCTGACATTGATAATTATACTGTGGTTATATACCTGCATGTCCTTTTTTTTTTTGTTTTCGAGACAGGATCTCACTCTGTCATCTGGGTTGGAGGCAGTGCCATCATCAAGGTTCACTGTAGCCTCAAACACCTGGGTTCAGGTGATCCTCTTGTCTCTGTCTCTGTAACTGGGACCAATTAGCTGCACACCACCATGTGCAGGTTATATATACATAATTTGTACAGATGAGGTATGGCTATGTTGTCTAAGCTTTTCTCAAACTCCTGGGCTCAAGCAACTTTCCAACTTTGGTCTCACAAATTGTTGTGATTAAGGCATGAGCCACTACACTTGGCCTACATCTCCTTGTCCTTGACAAATATTCACTGAAATATGCTATCTACAACTTATTCTTATATGGTAAAAAAAAAAATTATACATACAATGATTTGGGAAGGATTCCCTCTTTTTGAATTGTTCGGAATAACTGTTTACAATAGCAAAGACTTGGAACCAACCCAAATGCCCATCGATGATAGACTGGACAGGGAAAATGTGGCACATATACACCATGGAATACTATGCAGCCAGCCATAAAAAACCATGAGTTTGTGTCCTTTGTGGGAACATGGATGAACCTGGAAACCGTCATTCTCAGCAAACTGACACAAAAACAGAAAATCAAACACCGCATGTTCTCACTCATAGGCAGTTGTTGAACAATGAGAACACATGGACACAGGGAGGGAAGCATCACACACTGGGGTCTGTGGGTGGAGAACCAGGGGAGGGACAGCAGAGAGTGGGGAGTTGGGGAGGAATATCATGGGGAGAAATGCCAGATATAGGTGATGGGGAGGAAGGCAGCAAACCACATTGCCATGCATGTACCTATGCAACAGTCTTGCATGTTCTTCACATGTACCCCAAAACCAAAATGCAATTTTAAACAAAAATTATACATACATATATGTGTATATATATACATATATATATATACCCATATATGTATAATTTTTGTTTAATATTGCATTTATATATATATATATATACACACACATATATATATATATACACACACACACACACATATATGTGTATGTGTATGTATATATATATATATATGAGAAGGGAAAGACCATGATAAAGCAAATGTGGCCAAATTTTAGCAATTTGTGAATCTGAATGAAGTGTATGTGGAATTTTTCATAGTATTAATGCATTTTTGCTGCACTAGACTGCAAAGCATTTGAGAAATCAAGTGCATCTTACTCATTTGGGATCCTCCACCTGAGAACAGTGCCTTGGACATAGTGTGGAGCCCAATAAACATCAGGGAAAACCTGTCTGGCTATGGGGCAACAACTAGTACTTGTACAAGTGCTTGGTAGTTGAAAAAGATGCTACTTGAAGCACCTTGGAATTACCTGGAGCTGGTTTTAATAATGTGGCCCCTGCCTCCATCTCCAGGACATTTTATATTTGATTTTCACTTAGTAGTCAGAGCTTTCCACAGCATTTAAAAAAACTCTTGACTTTTCCTGCTTAGTCTCAGAATAGACCCTGGACCATGATTTTCATCCATGTATGTTAGCATTGATTTGGCCATTTTCTTGTTATACACTTCTTAAAATAACTCTTATTCTTTTATTTTTTTTCACTAATGTATGTATATTTAGGGAGTTTACAAAACATGAGCAAGCATAAAGAAATACATCCAATCCTGTCTTATTGCAATTACCAGTGAGAATATTTGGGTGTCTGTTTTTCTGCATAAATACATGATGCTTAACAAAAATGTAGCCATATTGTGCATGCTGTTTAGTAATCTATTTACTTCCCATAGTTTGTTGTTCACATCTTTCCACATAATTACATATTATTTTATAATTCTGTTTTTGATGACTTTGTAATATTCCATGATTATAATACACAATGGAATTATTTATCCAGTCGCTTATTATTGGACACTTAGGTTGCCACCAGTCTTGACCTATTATAAACAATATGACAATTAACACTATGTAGCTGGATATTGTCATTCACCCGTGATTTTCCTTAGACAAGATTTCTAGAAGATTTGTAAGATTGATTTTTATGAATATTTCCATAGAGATGCAAAAATGCCCTTCAGAAAAGTTTGAAAATTATTCTGTTTTCTCTAGAAATGAATGAGAATGGAGATTTTTCCTCATTTTGCCAATCTTGGCTGCTATTTTTTGAATCTATGGGTATTGATCATTTTGTCTTCAATGTAATTGTGGATTTTTGTCTATTTGTTTTGGATTAGTGGTTCTCAACTCTGGCTGTATGTGTATGTCCTGGTAAGCTTCTAAATAATGCTAATGTCTGAGTCTTAGCTCCAACCAATTGAATCAGTTGCTCCTCTGCAATTCCAATATTCATCCATGTTTAATAACTATTGTTTGGGGCTTGGATCATAGCTCATACAGGAAAAAACTGCTGAGATATTGATTTGGTTCAAAAAAATCATAGTAAATCATGATATAACACGAGAAAACATTCCCCCAGTAGACAAACTGGCTGACAAATATTATTTAGTGAGCTCTACAGATAACCAGGGCTTACTACATTTCCAGTGACACTAGTTCAAAGTCAAAACAATGTCTGTCAGTCAGACAGCTGGCCAAATTTGGGCCTAGCAATCTGGCTGTGAAGCCCTGGGTTCACACTTAGGATCAAGAGCTTAATAAGCATTATCTGAGTTACCAGGAATAAAGGCATGGCTTTTCATAAAAAAGAACAAAATCATCTCCTTTGCAGCAACACGGATGGAGCTGCAGGCCATAATCATAAGTGAATTAACTCAGGAACAGAAAAGCAAATACTACATGTTTTCACTTATAAGTGGGAGCTAAACATTGAGTACACATGGACAAAGACATGGGAACAACAGACATTGCAGACTACTAGTGGGGGTAGGGAGGGAGGGATGCATGGGTTGAAAATGGTCTATTGAATATTATGCTCTCTACCTTGGTCCAATACACCTATATAATAAACCTGTACATTTACCCCTGTATCTAAAATTAAAGTTGAAATTAAAAAAATGAGTGACTAGATTAAGTAGCCACCTAAATAAAACATGTCTATATGTTTATCTGAAAGAAAAAGGCATGGCTTCTTGGCAAACTATGTATATACCTATTGTGTGTGTGTTAATTAAATATTTTATGTTGAGATAATTGTTGGTTCACATGCAGTTGTAAGATATAATACAGAGAGTTCTTGTATATGCTTTACCCATTATCAGCCCTGGTAAGGTCTTTCAAAACTATGATAACAATAGTTTTGAACAATATCATAATCCACATATGGACACTGATACAGTCAAGATACAGATCATTCCCACCACCACAATGAATCTACCATGTTGTCCTTTTATAGCCATTGTCTTCTACTGAAATCCCTTCCTTTCCTTTTTATTTCTGTGTAGTATTACATGATATGGATACACTACAGTTTTCTTTTTTTTTTAACCGTTTACCCATTGAAGAACATCTGAGTTGTTTTCAGATTTTTGTAATTACAAATAAAGCTGTGATAAACATCTGTGTACACTTTTTTTTTTTTTTTTTTTGTATGAGAATAGGTCTTCATTTCTCTGGGATAGCAATGCAGTTCCTTGGTCATATGAATATGTGCAGTTTTTTAAACAAACTGCCAAATGGTTTTCCAGAGAGGCTGTACCATTTTATACTCACACTAGCAATGTATGTGAGATCCAGTTTGATATGATTTAGCTGTGTACCCACCCAAATCTCACCTTGAATTGTAGCTCCCATAATTCCCACATGTTGTGGGAGGAACCCGGTGGGAGGTAAGTGAATCATAGTGGTGAGCTTTTTCTGTGCTATTCTCATGATAGTGAATAAATCTTACGAGATCTGATGGTTTTTATAAAGGGGAGTTTCCCTGCACAAGTACTTTTCTCATCTGCCACCATGTGAGATGTGCCTTTCACCTTCCGCCATGATTGTGAAGCCTCCACAGCCCCAGGCAACTGAGTCCACTAAACCTCTTTCTTTTGTAAATTGCCCAGTCTTGGGTATTACTTTATCAGCAGCGTGAAAATGGGCTAATACACAGTTTCTCCACACTTTCACCAGCATTTGATATTGTCACTATTTTCACTTTAGTTATTCTGATAGGTGTGCCATACTCACCACATTCCTAATTTTATTTCCCTAATGGCTAATGATGTTAAACATATTTTCATATGTTGGTTTGCCCACCTGTATATCTTCTTTGATGAAATGTCTGTTTGAGAGTTCATTACATACTGTCGTTTGTCAAATATGTGGTCTGCAAATATTTTCTCCAAGGTTGTAGCTTGTCTTTTTATTTTTTTAATGGAGTACTTTGCAGAGCAAAAGTTTTTAGTGTTGTTGGAGCCTAATTTATCAAGTTATTTTTAATAGATCATGTTTTTAGTGTCAAGTATAAGAACTCTTGCTTAGGCCTACATCCTAAAGATTTTTTTCCTATGTTTTTCTTAAAGCTTTATTTTGTTGTATGGTTTACATTTAAATCTATAATCCACTTGGATTAATTTTTGTATATATATATTTTTGTTTTGCTTATGGATGTCTAGCTTCTGAGCACCATTTATTGAGCAGGCTATCTTCACTGAATTGCTTTTGTACTTTTGTCAAAAATCAGTTGACCATATTTATGAGTCTATTTCTGAGTTCTCTGTTCTGTTCTATTGTGCGTATCCCTCTGGCAATATCACAGTCCTGATTACTGTAGCTATATAATAAATCTTAAAATTTGGTAGATGCTTCTTTACATTTTATTTTTCTCTTTCAAAATCGTTTTACTATTCTAGTTCCTTTTACTTTCCATATAAATTTTAGGATAAACTTGCCTATATATGAGAAGATATGGCTGGGATTTTGATATAAATTGTGTTAAACCTATATATCAGTTTCAGGAGAATTGATATCTTTACTAGATTTAGTCTTCTAGTCTATGAACACAGTACATCTAGATCTCTCTCTCCTTTCCTCTTTGGCCTTCCTTCACTATCTCTCTCCCTTTCTTCCTTTCCTTCTTTTTCCTATCCTTTCCTTCACTCTCTCCTTTCTTTCCTCTTCTCTCCTTTTTTTTTTAAAAATTAGTTTTGTAGTTTTTAGCACACACGTCCTGTACATGTTTTGCTAGATTAGCACCTAAATATTTACTTTTTAAGCAATTATAAATGGTGTTGAATTCTTAATTTTGGTGTTCACATGTTCATTGCTAGTATGTAGAAACAGAGTTTATTTTGTATATATATTTTTTGTATTCTGTGACCTTGCTGAACTCATTTATTTTATGAGGTTTTTTTTTTTTTGATAGATTCCTTGCCATTTTCCAAGTAGACAATCATTTAATCTTCAAACAAACTTTTACTTATTCCTTTGTGATATATACGCCTTTTGCTTCTTTTTGTTGCCTGTTGCTCTGGCTAGAACTTCCAGCTATGCTGAATAAGACATCCTTGCATTGTTCCAATCTTAAGTATTTAGTATTAAGTATAATATTAATTGCAGATCATGTTGTAGATACTGTTCATCAATTTGAAGACATTTCTCTCTATACCTGGTCCCCCTCTATTCTTAATCTTCTGAAAAAAATTTTAAAGTCATGAATAGGTGTTGAATTATGCCATTGCTTTTTCTGCATTGATTTTTGTGATTTTTTTTCTTCTTTAGTCTGCTAATATAGTGGTTTACATTAATTGCACTTCAAATATTGTAGCCTCCTGGAAATAATTCCCATTGGTGATGATGTATAACTCTGTTTATATATTGATGAATTCTATGTGCTAACATTATGTTGGGCTAGGTATGGTGTGCACCTGTAGTGCCAGAAACTACAGAGGCTGAAGTTGGGAGGATCACTTGACTCGAGAAGTTTGAATTCAGACTGGGCAACATGGTAAGACCCCATCTCTAAAGAGAAAACTCCAAAACATAATATTTTGAAGATTTTTGCATCTATATTAATGTGAGGTATTGGTATTTTACTTTTTTGTACTGTATTTGTCTGACTTTGGTATCAGAATAATATCAGTTTCATTAAAGGAATTGGGAAGTGTTCCTTTCTCTTTTACAGAATGTTACATAATATGTTCCTTTGTCTTTTATTTTCTAGAATTATTGTTTAGAATCAATGTTAATTATTCTCTAAACATTTTGTAGAATTCTCTAGTGAAACCATCTGGTCCTGAAGATTTCTTCTTGAGGAGTTTTAAAAAGTACAAATTCAATTTTCTTAACATTTATAAGACTCTTCAAAATTTCAGTTTTATATTGGATGAATCGCGTTTTGTTAAAGAAAAATTATTCAATGATACTTGTAAAGCATGGTAAGGAAGACTTTATTCAGGACCATTGTGATGGGTATAGGGACCACTGCAATGGGATCTTGCAGTGGGGGAAAGACATTGGCTCAACTCTGAATGCAGCATATGCAAGGAGAAATTTATAGCCAAGGAGCAGTGTGGTGAGTCAGTGGATGGAAAATTACTAAGAGAAAACATCAGGAGTCAAGGGGATTCTGGCTAAACCAACCTAACAGGATTCTTGCCAAGGCAAGCCAGGGCGATCAGATATCCCTTGGAGGATGTTAGAGGTTGAGGAGCCTGATTACATATGGAATATGGGGGATTCTTTTCAAACTGACTTAGCAGTGTTCTTTGCTAAAATTGGACTTTACAAGGAAGTACACAGATGGGCCCAGCAGAAGGTTCTGAAGCCTCACTGAAGCTTGGCCAAGTAAAGAATCTTTGTCAGGTGGTTTGTGTTTTTCAAGAAATTCATCAATTTTGTCCAAGTTTTCAAATTTATGTATGCAGAAGTGTTAGTAGTATTCCTTTTGAAGTCTTCAAATATCCTTTGGATACCTGATATTAATAATTTGTGTCTTCTTTCTCCTCCTGTTAATCTTGCTAGAGGTTTGCTAATTGCATTGACATTTTCAAAGTGCTATCTTTTTTTTTTATTGCTTTTCCTATACTATTTTTCTGTTTCAATTTAATTGCTTTTTTGCTTTTATTGTCATTATTTCCTCTTTATGTTTGCTTTGGGTTTACTTTCTACTTCCTGGTGAAGGCTGAAGGCCAGAATGCCCATATGGTCTTTGACACCATGTATGGAAATGGAAATGGGAGTCATCACCTCATTATTGGTCAGTGGGGATGAAAATCTAAGCTCCCTATTTGGCTTTCTCTGGCATCAACTTGATGGTTGCTGGGGTCCCTCCTTGCAAGCTCCCAAGGGTGAAGTATAGGTTTTTCACTTAGTCTTTGCTAATGACAGTGGGGGTGAAGTCACCATTTTTTTCTCTGGTATTTGGCTGTAATGGACTGGTTATTATCTAAAAATCATACTAGGCTGCTTTTGATCTGATACTTTGGCTGATTTTGAGTCTAGCCTTATTTTGGGTTGTGTGTGTGTGTGTATGTGTGTATGTGTGTGTGTGTGTGTGTGTGACTATATCCGTTTCCTGGTTGCCAGCCTTTTCAGCTTCAAATCTGGGATATCTGAGACAAAAAGAACATCCAGGAAATGTACCACCACATTTCTTTTCCAGTCTCTGTTACCTATTTTTCTACTCTTTACCTTCATGTGTTGAAAAGTTTTAGATATCACATATAAGTGAGAACATGTGATTTTTGTTATCTGTGCCTGTCTTATTTCACTTTAAGATTAATGACCTTCATTTCCATCCATGTTGCTGCAAATTATGCCATTTTACTCTGTTCAATGGCTGAATAGTATTCTATTGTTCAGATATATCATGTTTTATTTATCCATTCATTTGCTGATGGACACTTGTGATTTTGTCTCTTAGATACTGTGAATAGTGCTGCAATAAACATGCAAGTACAGATATAGTTTTGATATATTGATTTTTCTTTGGGTAGATACCCAGTAATAGGATTGCTAGATTGAATGGTGATTCTACTTTTGTTTTTGACAAATTTCCATGGTGTTTCCATAGTGGTTGTACTAGTTTGTGTTCCTACCAAAAGTGTGTAAGAGCTCCCTTTTTTGTGCATTCTCATCATCATCTGTTTGACTTTTTAACAATAGCTATTCGGACTTGTGTGAGATGAAATCTCACTGTTTTTTTTTGTTTTCTTTTTGAGACAGGATCTCTCTGTTGCCCAGGTTGGAGTGGAGTGGCATGATCTCAGCTCACCACAACCTCTGCCTCCTGAGCTCAAGCTAACCTCCTACCTCAGTCCCCCAAGTATCCGCGGCCACAGGCATGTGCCACCATGCCTTGCTAATTTTTTGTAGATACTATGTCTCATCATGGTTCCCAGGCTGGCCTCAAACTTCCGAGCTCAAGTGATCTGCCCCGCTTGGCCTCCCAAAGTGCTGAGATTACAGGAATGAGCCACTGCACCCAGCCTCACTGTGGTTTTGATTTGCGTTTTTCTGATGATTAGTAATGTTAAGCATTTTTTTTTGCGTACCTGTTAGCCTTTGTGTGATTCTTCTGAGAAATGTCTATTCATGTCCTTTGCCCACTTTTTAATGAAATTATTTTTTTCCTGTTGAGTTGTTTAAGTTCCTTGTATATCTGGATATTAGTCACCATCAAAAGGATAGTTTGCAAATATTTTTATCCATTCAACAAGTTGTATCGTCACTGTACTGATTTTATTTTAATTAATTAATTAATTTTGCTATGCAGAAGCTTTTTAGTTTAATTAAGTCCCATTTTTCTATATTCTGCTTTTGTTGCCTAGGCTTCTAAGCCTTTTTGATTTTTAGGCATAAATTCTTTGCTTAGACCAATGTCCTGGTGAGTTTTTCCTACATTTTCTTTGAGTATTTTTTATAGTTTCAGTTTTACATTTAATTATTTAATCCATTTTGAATTGACTTTTGTACATGATGAGAGATAGGGATCCAGTTTAATTATTCTGTATGTGGCTATACAATTTTCTTAGCACCATATATTAAAGAGGGTATCCTTACCCCAAAGTACATTCTTGTTGGCTTTGTTGAAGATCAATTGGCTATATGCATATGGGTTTATTTCTGGGTTCTCTATCTTATTTCTTCCATCTATTTGCCCATTTTTATGCTGATACCATGCTGTTTTGGTTACTATAGTCTTGTGATATATTTTTAAGTCAGGTAGTATGATGCCTTCAACTTTGTCCTTTTTGCTTGGAATTATTTTGACTGTTTAGGCTCTTTTTTGGTTCTATATAAATTTTTTTCCCTAATTCTGTGAAGAATAAAAGTATTTTGATGGGGACTGTATTGAATCTGTAGATTGTTTTGGGCATTATGCTTATTTTAATGATATTGATTCTTTCAATCCATGAACATGGGAAGTTTTTCCATTTGTTTGTGTCATCTTCAATTTCTTTCAATAGTGTTTTGAGTTTTTTCTTGTAGAGATCTTTCACTTCCTTGGTTAAATGCATCCTAGGTATTTTTTTTTGTAGCCATTATAAATGAGTCTATCTTCTTAATTTATTTCTCAACTAGTTTATTACAGGTGTACAGAAGTGCTACTGATTTTTGTACATTGATTTTATAAACTGCAACTCTACTGAATTCATTTATACAAATCTGGAAGTTTTTTTGGGGGGGTCTTTATGTTTTTCTAGATATAAGATCATATTATCGGCAAAGCTGAAGAGTTTGAATTCCCCATTTCAAATTTGAATGTCTTTTATTTACTTCTCTTTCCTGGTTTCTCTGGCAATCTTAGAATCCTGATTAAAATTTTTTCATTACTGAAAATGTCAGGTACTTTCTATCATATATTTCAAATAAAATAAATATGTCTCTTTGATTTTTTCCTGTTACCTGTTATTTCATTACTTACAAATGAGACCTCAAATTGAACATCATGTGTGCAAGGTATGAAGGTTTTATGGGAGACATAGCTCTCTTTGTTGGAGCTATCACTGGGGATAGTTTCTTTGGGAAATACCAAGGAAGAGATAGGAAATGAGAAGATTGACATTGTGTTGAGTTCATATGTTATTTAGACATATGAACTTTAGACAGGTTATTTCATTTAGTCTTACAGTAGTAGTATTATCATCCCTATTTTTCAGCTGTGACCATGGCGTACAGGAGTTAGAATTTTTTAAGATGCCCATGTTGATAGTTTAGCCTATGTCTGCTTACTGAATAACAATGACTTTTTCCATCCTCCCAAATGACCTTCTTCAGGTCATAAGATCATTTATATCTTTTTTCTTTTTTTTTAATTTAAATTTAAGTTTTAGATTCAGGGGACAGGAATGCAGGTTTATTACAAGGGTATATTGTGTCATGCTAAAGTTTGGGCTTCTATTCATCCCATCACCCAGATAGTGAATATAGTACCTGATAGGAAGTTTTTCAGCCCATGACCCCTTCCTCTTTCCCTCATTTTGAAGTGCCAGTGTATATTGTTCCCATCTTTATATCCATTTCTACACAAGGCTTAGCTTCCATTTATAAGTGAGAATATGTAATAATTGGTTTTCTGTTTCTATGTTAATTTGCTTAGGATAATGGCCTCCAGCTGCAGTCATGTTGCTGCAAAGGACATGATTTTATTCTTTTTTATGGCTGTGTAGTATTACATGGTGTATATGTACCACATTTTCTTTATCCAATCCACTGCTGATGGGCACCTATGTTGTTTCCATGTCTTTGTTATTTTGAGTAGTGCTGTGATAACCATGACTGCAGGTGTCTTTTTGGTAGAATAATGTATTTTCCTTTGGCTATATACCCAGACATAGGATTGCCGGGTCTAATGGTAGTTATACTTTTAGTTATCTGAGAAATCCTTAAAGTTCTTTCCACAGGAGCAGAACTAATTTACATTTCCACCAACAGCATTATCTATACTTTTCTTATGGTATTTTCTATAGTGTACATATACTTTTTGGCATTGGTATACACTGGAGAGACATAAAAAGGCTCACGGTTCAACCAGGAAGGCAAAACAAGTTCATAGTTTGTTAATGTAGTATACTACACGGAGAAGTAGAGGTATGACACAAGGGATCTCATCTCCTTGGGTGGCTTTTTAAAAACAAATTATCTTGCAGACTTTATATTTGAAGAACTATTTGAAGACAAAGTTTAAAGCCTAGGCTGATAATGTGTTTTTCTAGAGAGCATTTTGTTTTTACTTAATTCTGCCAAGGACTGGGGGAATATCTATTTGGAATGACATTGATTTGGTTTTAGGGATTACCTGGGTTTGAGGCTGAGCATCAGTATTGCAAGGGCCAGTCTACCTCTATTTCACCATTACCTCTGGGATAGAGCTGGTCCAACCCAATGTGTGAATGCTCCTGTGCTCCCCACCTTCCCAGAGGGTTCTAAACTCTAACTCTTATCTCCTTAAGCTTACAGTACATTAGAAAGAACTGCTCAGGCACTCTTCTTTTCAATGGCCTCTCCTGAGTTAACAAATGTGTCTAAGAGTAAGCAACACAAAAAGTCACACTTATATCCCAGGACTTCCATCTTCTGAAACTTGGCCAGATGATTCTCCAATACATTGTATCTGTGATGTCTTAAAGTAGATTTAAAAATTTCCCCAGATTTTCTACTTTTTCTATGTAGGAAAATTAGTTCCCGTCATCTACTTTGCTATTACCAGAAGTGCGAACGTTGATATGGCTTCTTTTTTGGAAGAGCCAAAGTAAAAATAAAAATGCTATTGCCATTGTTATTTTATAGACAAGATTCTGCTACTCAGTATGATTCTTTCTTGAACTCCGAACACTGTAATTTTAGACTAGGTAGTAATATTACTGACCACTTTGTCTTGATCCTTGTTTTACTGAGGATGGGGAAAGAGAAGTGATTTATATAGGAGTGGGTAGAGCTAGAATTATTACCAGATATGAGTATACTACCCCTCAGCTGCCCACACAATGCACCTATTTAATAAAATAAGACACTACCATAGAAACCATCAGTAGTAACTATGTTTGGTAGAATGATTAAACTTTTAATTTAAAACATTACCTGATATGAGAAAGTACATACTTTCCAGAAATACTTTAATTTTTCCATGACTGCTGTTTTATAAAGATTTCTCCCTGGATTTTTTTTTTTTTTGCAGTTTTCCAAGGAATGTCTGCTTCCACAATCCAAAGATCATCTTAGTGCATAATTCTTTTAACATTAGTGGGAGCTGCTTCTCTACGAGCTGCTTTCTTTGCAGGAGTTTTCTGTTGACAGTGTTGCTGCTCTCTTCTTTTTCACATACTTCTTTTCTCTGGCAGTCAATTGTCTTTGATTATTCTACATGAACCTCTTCCCTTCACTAGCAACACTTCCTCTCACATCTTTCTTCTTTGAAATTTAAATAAAAATTTCACAACTATAAGAAGAGGGATCTTTATTCTCTAATAAAAACCTATTAAATCAAAATGGTCCATTCAGCCAAATTTTAATATAAGATAGAAAGAAGTTTCTAAACTAAATATTATGATGTATAACTGACATGTCATATGTATCAGAAATATAATTAAATTGCATGTTGCTGACTGACTTCATTATCATAGCTGCATAAATGAAGATTACTCAGTTGCTTTTAGCCACATTTGGTTTATAAATTGCCATGCCAAAAAATATACTTCTGTGCTTCAATTTCTGTAAAATGATTAAAACCCCAGAGGAAGATGAAGATTATAAAGTCTACATATAGGATTACAGCATTATTTATAGCATGAATTTTGGTTTCTGGTACTTCTGACTTCAAAGCTTTGCATAGATTACATAGAAATACTGCTCTTAATCATTCTGAGACCACTAGAGAACTGTCTTCTAGCATAGCATTTGTCCTAATTACTATAGATCCTCTCTTGTAAAAAGTACAAACAGTCATTATTGTAGTTTCTCAGAAATTTGGTAAATATATAAAATCAGATCAAAGAGAGAAAAATAGCAGGCTCTTATGGCTATAGCATTACAGAACTGGAAAGTCCCTTGGAGACTATCAGGCTAATGCTATTAGGCCTATTTCCTCTTTTTGTAGATGAGTGAAGTTTCAGAGGATGGTGTTTCTTACTGCTGATAATGCTGATTGTCCAAAGACTACCAGAGAGACTTGTAGTCACAAGAATTTGGGTTACTTGATGTAAGAAGGAAGACATCCCATCAGCAAGTGTGGCATGTCTCACTCTATAAGAGTGTGGTGGAAGGATGTGTTACATAATTTGGCTTCATGCTAGATGATTTGTGGGAAGATTTAAGGAGGCAGGTATTTGCCATGAATTGCTTACGGTCAGAAAATGTGAGTAATTCTATGACTGAGGAACAATAATTTTTACACAGGAGGCACGAGAAACAAAATGGGGCTAAAGCTGTAATTGCCAAGAATCAGGCACTTGTGATAGTTGGAAGAAGAAAGTGTTCATCAATTCCTATCATATCTGCATGTCCAAATAGTCTCAGAAAGAAATTCTTAATATTATTTATATTATTGTTTCTGTCAGAGATAAATTCTATTAACTTCTTGGTGTACTTAGCTTTTTCTCCTATGTACATTGGTTTCTCAAATACATTTATTAATGATAAATGATTACGTACATATTTTTGTGATAATGTAATAATTTAATGCATTCACATAATTTGTAAAGATCAAGTCAGTATAATTGGAATATTCATTATCCTAAGCATTTGTCTTTATACTAAAAGCATGTGAATAATTCTCTTCTAGCTATTTTGAAATATATAATAGATTATTGTTTTTTAATTGTACTTTAGGTTCTGGGGTACATGTACAGATCATGCAGCGTTGTTGCATAAGTGCATATATAACCAGGTGGTTTGCTGCCTCCATCCCCCTTCATCTATATCCAGCATTTCTTCTGACGGTATCCCTCCCCACCCTCCTCACTCCTCACTGTCCTTTCCTTAGCCCCTGGCAACTGACCCCAGTGTGTTGTGCTCCTCTCCCTGAGTCCACGTGTTCTCATTGTTCAACATCTGCCTATGAGTGAGAACATGTGGTGTTTTCTGTTCTTGTGTCAGTTTGCTGAGAATGATGGTTTCCAGATTCATCCAAGTCCCTACAAAGGACATGAACTTATCGTTTTTTATGGCTGCATAGTATTCCATGGTGTATATGTGCTACATTTTCTTTGTCCAGTCTATCATTGATGGGCATTTGGGTTGGTTCCATGTCTTTACTATTGTAAACAGTGCTGCAATGAACATACATGTGCATGTGTCTTTATAATAGAATGGTTTATAATCCTTTGGGTACATACCCAGTAATGGAATTGCTGGGTCAAGTGGAATTTCTATTTCTAGATCCTTGAGGAATCGCCATACTCTCTTCCACAACGGTTGAACTAATTTACACTCCCACCAACAGTGTAAGAGTGTTTCTATTTCTCCACATCCTCTCGAGCATGTGTTGTCTCCAGATTTTTTAATGATCGCCATTCTAACTGGTGTGAGATGATATCTCAATGTGGTTTTGATTTGCATTTCTCTAATGACCAGTGATGATGAGCATTTTTTCATATGTTTGTTGGATTCATATATATCTTCTTTTGAGAAGTGTCTGTTCATATCCTTTGCCCACTTTTGAATGGGTTTGTTTGTTTTTTTCTTGTGTATCTATTTTAGTTCTTCGTAGATTCTAGATATTAGCCCTTTGTCAGATGGGTAGATTGCAAAATTTTTTTCCCATTCAGTTAGTGGGAAATTTTTTCCCATTCTGTTGGTTGCCGATTTGTTTTAATGATTGTTTCTTTTGCTGTACAGAAGCCCTGAAGTTTAATTAGATCCCCATTTGTCTATTATGGCTTTTGTTGTCATTGCTTTTGGTGTTTTAGTCATGAAGTCCTTGCCTATGCCTATGTCCTGGATGGTTTTGCCTAGGTTTTCTTCTAGGGTTTTATGGTGTTACACCTTATGCTTAAATTTTTAATCCATCTGGAGTTAATTTTAGTGTAAGGTAACAGGAATGGGTCCAGTTTCTGCTTTCTGCACATTGCTAGCCAGTTTTCCCAACACCATTTATTAAACAGGGAGTTTTTCCCCTATTGCTTGTTTTTGTCTGGTTTGTCAAAGATCAGATGGTTATAGATATGTGGTGTTGCTTCCAAGGCCTCTGTTCCATTCCATTGGTCTATTTATCTGTTTTGGTACAAGTACCATGCTGTTTTGATTACTGTAGCCTTGTAGTATAGTTTGAAGTCAGGCAGCATGATGCTTCCGGCTTTGTTCTTTTTGCTTAGTATTGTCTTCGCTATGCAGGCTCTCTTTTGGTTCCATATGAAGTTTTAAAGTGTTTTTCTCAAGTCCTGTGAAGAAGGTCATTGGTAGCTTGTTGGGGATAGCATTATATCTGTAAATTTGGGCAGTATGGCCATTTTCACGATATTGATTCTTCCCAACCATGAGCATGG